TTTTTTTTTTTTTTTTTTTTTTGGTACCAGGGATCAAACTCAGGTCCTTGCACTTGCGAGGCAGGCAGTGGAACCACTGAGCTAAATCCCTGGCCCAATTGTGCCTTTTTCTTAAAAAAAAAAAAAACTTTCCCAGTATCTCTTCTGGAAAACCTCATACTTGAATACTGCATTGAGCACTCTTCCTTTGTGTACCTTTGATACTCTTTGGCTATTGCTGTTCTTGTCTTTACCACACAATGATGTTATGCTTATGTGTGTCCTTATCACTGAAACTTCATGCTACTCGAGTGCAGACATTATTTTATTTATCTTTTTGTTTTCATGGGCATTACTTATATTACTTACATTTATCAGGATAAGAGATGTGAAAAGAATGGTAGAGAAATTTGTGTTTGTGTGAAGAGACTTTGGATAAAGATGTGTAATTTTTTAAAAAAATTAATAATATAGTCCACATTCCATCCCAGCTTTTTAGAGTATGCAGTTTCATATTTCATAGTTAACCAGAGTTGTACACTAGCACTATCATCTCAGTCCAGATCATTTTCATCATCCCAGACAGAAATCCCATGCCTGTGAGGAATCTGTCTATATTCTTCCCTCTCCCTGGTCCCTGGCAATCGCTAATCTACTTTCTATCTGTATGCATTTCCCTAGTGAAGACATTTCATAGAAATGGAATCATGCAGTATGTGGTCTTCTATGTCTGGCTTCTTTCATCCACCATGTTTTTAAGGTTCATTTGTGCTGTATGATATATATTTCATTCCTTTGTATCACCCAGAGGTATTCCATTTTATGGATATGCCATATTTTATTTATCCATTCTTCAGTTGATAAAAATTTGGGGAATTTCATTTTTTGATATAATAAATAATAGAGCTAGAAACATTTGGGTTTATATTTTTGCATGAACTTGATTTCAGTTCTCCTGGGAAGATAAGAAGGCTTAAAATACTCTAATTCATTATTTAACAAATCTTTTTTGAGCACTTACTTTGGGCCCAAAATTGTTCTAGATGCAGCAATATAGTACAGAACAAAATATAGAAATCCTTGCCTTCACGGTGATTTCGTTTTAAATAAATCCTAAAAGAAGTAAACTATTAGTAAGTTAGATGGCAGTATGTACTTTGAAGAAAAACAAAGCAAATAGAAGGCCTAAGAAATGCCTTTAGTGGGTGGGATGTGGTTCTAATTGCAGTGAGTGCTGCCTGTCTGAGGAGGCGACATTTGATCAAAGACTTGGAAGTGGAGAGGGAACCAGTGTTTTAGCTCGATGGTAGAGAGAATGAACTAAGCAGAGGAAAAGCAGGGGCAGAGGTCTTGAGTGCAGCTGTGAGCAGAGTTATCTGGAAAACCAGTGTCAGTGTAGTGGGTGGAATGTGGAAGGGGAGAGCAATCAGGAACAAGGTCAGATACAGCAGATCACATGTGGCTTTGCATAGGGTTTGAGGACTTGGGCCGAATGGGATGGGAAGCTATTGAAGAGAAGAAAGCTGATCTGATTTGGGTTTAAAGAGAATCACTCTGGGCTGTGGTGTTGAGACTAAGTTAGAGATCCCTGCTGTCTCTTGGGATACAGTGCCTTCAGTGTCCGACACTCCTAGGCCAAAAGAAGCACCTAACAGTTTTATTTATGAAGTGGTTAGCAACTTAAGAGCTGTATGAAAAAAATGAGATAAAAGAAAAATGGGTGTCATTCTTAAATGACTACAATTATTTATTGGTTGAATGTGTGTACTTTTTGAGCAGTGTACAGCTTTCCGAAGAGGTTAGAATCATACTGGACACCATTACTCTTATTTCCTTGTCCACATTGATTTTCATCCAGTACTTTTGTTCCTAGCATAGTTTCTGCTAAAATCCAGTCATGAAAAGATTTGACCTTAACAAAAGGATTGTAATGTAGTCTTATGTTGAAACTGTAAACTGCCCCAACCTAGGAGTTCAGCGATGCCCGATAGATGGTCAGGCTTTGCTGTTTCTCCTGAAAATTGACATTGTCCTCTGGTGTCCCCTGTGAGTTCACTCAGTGTCCTGAGTGCTGTGTCTTAGCACACAGTTTGGGAACAGGGATAGACTAGGTGGCCAAACACACAAGCAGGGAGGAGTTGTTGGAGTAATTCAGATGGGGATCTAAAGCAGAAGAAGGAAAGGGTGTGGAAATTGGTCAAATTCTGAATATATTTTAAAAGCCAACCAGACGTTTTGGATATATGGTGAAGGAGAGGATGTGAGAGGAAAAAAGAGTCAAAAATGACTCCAGAGTTTTGGGCTGAATAATTAAAATAATGAAGTTTCTATTTATGAGGTGATAAAAGCTTCAGGAGAAGTTTGGTTTTGTATATGTTAAGTATGAGAAGTCTATTTGTTTCCTAAGTAGAAATATTGAGGCTATTGGTTTTGAACTTTGGGCTGGTAGTAGTCAGCAGTATTTGCAATATTTCTAACGTCTGGCCACAACCAATTTTTATTAGATGTTTGTGTTTCTCTAACCATGTATGAGAAAAATGTATGCTTAAGTAATAATTCATCTCTAGCTATTATCCATGGATTCTCTTACTTTCTTTTTATTAAAAGGTCTTAGCATTTTATACAACTTTCCTCTCTTTCCTTCAACCTGCCATCTTCTCTGCTTCTAAGAACCACCTATGTATTTAATACCAGTTCTTAGACTTAGGTTATATGTTGTAATCAAACCTGTTGCTTTCAGATGATCTACTTATGTCTTCAGTGCAGAAATTATTAAGAATAAAACAAATTCATCCAAATTTCTGGGCAGTCCAATTGGCTTTTAAATGTAAGAATGGAATTCCAAACACATTCATCTATATGACAAAATAAATGAATGGATGTGGTATTTTATGAATGATCCTTTAAATAAAAGAAAATCTTACATAATATTTAAAAACACATGAGATATATACATAGACAAATATAAAAATATACCTATATATATATATGCAGTACAATTAGCTCTCACACAAATAAAAGTATAGCTATAATCATATTGCATATAGAGTTTTGTTCTTTTCTCTTTCCCTTAAACATTTTAGATATGTTACCATAAATACAGTGTTCATCTTTATAAGTTTAAATGCCCATTGAATATTCTGTTTCCTGCCCCTGATGTGTCTGTCTCTTGGGGTAACTTGAGAATCATTTGAAATAATTTGTATGAAGAGTCTTATACATTGAATGCCCTGTACACAAAGGTTGTTATTTTCATAGCAGGATATTTCGTAATAGTCCCCGATTTACTTAACTATTTCTCTATCATGGGACATCTAGAATATTTATAATTATGAATAGCATTGTTTTAGAGTTTGAATAAAAGTTTTGAATTCTTGAAGAATTTAAAATAATGATAGGTACACACATCCTTTGTATGGCTCGCTTCTATGTGATGGTTAATATTTGTTAGGATGATGATGCTATTTCATTTCTTCTTTAGGCTAGACTGCAGCGGTACATGGCCACAACAGACGAGCAACTTATATCACTCACACATGCCATTAAGAATTGTCCTGTGATAAATAACTCTACACAGGAAGCTCAGGCTTCAGAAAGGGGAGCCACAGACGGAAGAGTTGGGGACAGTCCAGGTAGGTATAGTCTTATTATCTCAAACCATTATTAAACTTTTTTTTGGTACCAGGGATTGAACTCAGGACCTTGTACTTGTGAGGCAGGTGGCGGAACCACTGAGCTAAATCCCTGGCCCTCATTAAACTGTTTAATGGCCTCAGAAAACTGATGTTGAATCTATGGCACGTGGGCTGGTGTGGGCTGTTTGCGTCATTGAAAGCTCTGAAAGGTTCCCTATCCCAGCCTTAGAGTTGCACACAAACCAAACCCTGAACCCCTGAGCTTATATAGAATTATTGGCTTATATGGAATTATTTGTAGGTAACTGTATTATCACTACTACAATTATCACTACTTTTCCCGCTATCATTTATTAATACCTTTTGAACCTTACATGTATAGTGCTTATAATAATCTTATGAGGTAAATATTATTGTTACTGTTGTATAAGGAAGCTAACGCTTAGAAAACATTGGTAATTAGTCACATGGGTAGAAAGTAGCAAAACCAAATACCTAGGTCAGTGAGACTTTGTTGCCAGCACTTTTAATCATGGTATCTGGTGCAGAAGAATAGAGATGGTATGAGAAAGAAAAAACCCTTGAGTTTTAGAAATTTATGACTTTTATTCAGATGTGATGATACTTTGAGATCCTTTAGGGTTTTTCACTTTTTTACTTTTAAGGAAGTCTTTGATGATTGTGTACAAAGTGTTTTGTGCATACAGGATGATCTTCTTTGAATAGATTCTAAGAAGTGGCAGACTGCACTTTAACTTGGATGAAGTAAAGGCAGTGGCAAGGTCTCTGTCTTATGGTGGGAAATTGCTGTTAGGATCTCCATCGAGAGGTAGGTTAGTGCTGTCCACTACTGAGAAAGTGTTTAGTTCTTCAAAGATTAAAAAAAGCTAGAAGTGAGCTTATTGTAAGGTTATTTTTAATTATCTGTGGAAGAAGTTGGAAAGATTTATGTAAGTGAAACCAGCTTGGTATCTTTTTGAGTCTTGGCTTGTGTAACCCTTGTACAATAATGTGGGATAAGACTATACTATCATAGTGCATGACTTGGGAACTTACAGTGCCTTGTATTGTGATGAATCTTGTATGTGTGGATCACTGTTCATGTGTGCTGTTTTTGCCATTTTGTTATTTGTCATATGCATTAGAAAACTACCCAAAACAAATAATGAAAAATTCTAAAGTACCAGGCAACAGTTCATACATAGGTGGCTTTCTTCTTATGGCTTTTTTTCTAATGCTTTTCTCAAACAAGTTTGTGCCAGTGCTGTCTTTGCAAGATTTGTCTATGAATTATTGGCCGAGGATAATGTAGCCTAGAAGTGAAGGCTCTATGGTTCTGTTAGGGTTTATATCTGGATTTCTCATGTGCTCAGAGTCAGGACTTGTGGAGGTGGTCATACAGGGAACTATAGCTAGCGTGGTATTGGTAGGTGGGGCCTGATCGCAAGAGGTGGATCTCTGCGATATGACGTGGCGGGCATACCCGCCTCCCCGGATCCTCCCTCCTTCTCTGCTTCAGGGCTGCCATGACATGAGCAGTTTTCTTCCACGCCTGCCCTTCCCCCATGCCACCCTGGAGCCAGCTGACTGCGGACTGAAACCTTAACAACACGGGCCAAAAGAACCCTCTCCTCCTTTAAATTGTGGGTGTTTGGCATTGTGTTTCATCGATGAAGAAAGAGACTAAGACAGGCCAACTGGGTTTTGTATTCTACTTGAAGGCACTTAGGAATACATATCTGGAATATGCCCACAATTCCTTTTTTTTTTTTTTTGGTACCGGGGATCTAATTTGGGTCCTTGCACTTGCGAGGCAGGCGGTGGAACCATTGAGTCGAATCCCCAGCCCCCCACAATTCCTTTTTGTTCCTTACATGCTAATGTCCTCTTTTCTTCAGAGGCCGCTGCTGTAAGCACTAATGTGTCCGTGCCGTTGATGTTCAGAGGGGAAGAAGTGGTTGATTTCCTGCAGGAAGAGTTGCCTGTTAAACTGTCTCAGATGCCGAACCCGGCTGACAGTACGCAGCTGGCCAGTGGTTTTCCTGCACGTGTCTTTGAGCCAGCTGTGTTGTTAACACCACCCAGGCAGAAGAGCAACTCAGAATTCTCTCCTCTGCAGGATGGTAAGCAGGCTTCTTAGAAAGTTATGCAGAAGTTATTTTTTATGCTTCACTTTTGTAATGTATCGTGTTCACTGTTACCTGAAAACATAATTGTAAAGGACATTGATAACTGCCTACAACCTTTCAACTGAAGGATACATTCTGAGGATGGTTTATATGTTGTGTTTTATACTGATACAATGAAGTGTGACATTTAATTAATTTCATCATACATCTGCTCTACTGAACATTGTAAGTATTAGACTCAGGTCAAAGGATCAAAGTCCAGAGCATTAAGTTGCGGAATAAGAGGAATCCCTACTGCCCTGCAGTATATAAATAAGGAACAAGAGGAGATTATGCTCCAGATAATAAGGAAAGTTTATCTAGGGAAAGATAAAAGCTGTGATTTAAGGATTTTGTAAGTCATATTTGATCATCTTATTATCACTTTCTCAGAAGTCTTCAAATCAGTCAACTGAGGGAATTTTATGACAAAAGTAGACAGACAATTAAAAATAGAGTTAGATACATGTAGAATTTTGAGTAAAAACATTAAACTGTTTTGCTAATCCTTAGCTAAAACGACTCGTGAATGGCCTTCCGAACTTCATCGTTGGAAAATGAACTTATTTTTCCACACATGTATTTTTTGGAGGTTTCACTTTCATTTTCAAAGGGTTTTTCAATTTGAAAAAAAGTTAAAAACTACTTAGATTCTCTTCCAAGTGGTTTTTGAAAAATAATAGTTCTGATTTGCCTGAAATTTTATTTTTTAAAAAAATTGTTTATATTCTTCCATAGCAGGACAGAAAACTAACTTTTATTGTCATTGAGCTGCCTTGGTATATGTTTCCAATAAAAAAGGGCCGTAAGGGGTTAAAGGAAACGTCAAGTTGTTGTTACTAGAATTTTGCTTTTATATCTAAAATGCAATCATAGTGTCTGCCAGATCAGTGTGGTATGGTGGAATCAACTCCAGGCTGAGTCAGAAGTGCTGGTGACTTAAAGCTGAGTAGCTTTATGATGTGGACTAAGATACTGATCTTTTCTGGACTCCAGTTTTCCTATCTTTTGCACAAGAGGATTTTTCCTTAGTGTCTTTTCCAGCTCTCCAGTTCTATGACTCATTATTTCCTCTTTAGAGGACTGGAGAGTGCTATTAACTCTGGCTAGATTAAGGAACTATGATTTCAATTCAGGTTAGATTTTCATTTCTTAAAATAATTGTTCAAATATTTTCCTGTTGTTAATAGGCTCTTATAATGAGTTCTTATTAAATATTATATTTTTCATTGGTGGTAATAAAATAGCTTAAAATTATTTCAAAGAAACAATCATAGTAAATATTTGACTGCAGATATACTAAGGGTTCATTAAAGCAAGTAATGTCAGAGACTGCTATAGAAAACATGTTAGGATTTTCAGTAGGTTCTACATTGGAATAATTTCCCATTTTGTTTAGAACCTACAGTACAGGTACAGGAGCCTTTGAATATGTATTCTGAATTGGTGATATATTTTTTATGCATTGTGTTTGGAATACTCACATGTAAATTGTTCAGTTAAATTGAACATGCAGATAAAGATAAAAGACACGTAGGACCCTTCATCAGCATTTAGTTATCCTCAAAACAAGTCTGTACAGTAGAACTTTGTGTGTCAAACCAAGAAGAAAGCTCTTATTATAAAGGTGAAAGTAAATTCCAATTTCATCAGTTGTTTGGAATCTTTTGGCTTGCCATGTTTATGGTATGACTTTCTTGTTCATGTTTTCCTTTGCCTAGACTTTCAAGTGCCTTTAATTCTTTAATCATACTATCCGTGGTGTGGAATTTGCATTCATCCTGAGGTGCTTTCCCAAAGCCCATCAAACTTGTTCCAGACTAGACTGATTGCTCTCTGGGCCTGCTGCATGGCTCTCATTGTGGGATTTCTGGGTTGGATCAGCTATTTCCTGGGTCCCATTTCTTCTTTCTTCTTTCTTCTTTCTTCTTTCTTCTTTCTTCTTCCTTCCTCCTCTTCCTCCTCCTCTTCTTCCTCCTCCTCCTCCTCCTTTCTCCTTCTTTTCTTTCTCCTCCTCCTCCACCTCTCCCCGCCTCCTTCCTTCCCTGCCTCTCCCCCTTTTCCTCCTCCTCCTTGTCCTCCTCCTTTTACTAAAAAATCAGGAGCAGTGTATACAAGACAGAGTTTGAGTTCTTGAAAATCTGAAAATATTTTTACTTTTCTCTGTAAGTGGCTAATAATGTGACTAATAAAGAATTCTAGGCCATGGTTCTTTTATGCTTGAAAACTTAAAGGCATTTTTCTGTTGATTTCTAGTCCCAATGTTCAGGTGGATGTCTATGTCTTGTCTTATATTTGGCCTTTTTTTCCCTATTAAAGATTTTAGTATCCTTTTATTTTTATCCAGAAATTGCACAAGGTGGAGTTGTGTGTGTGTACAGTGGAGCACAGTGGGCCCTTTCAGTCTGCAAACATGTGACTTTTGTTAGTTTTACATAATTGTATATTGACTTTTGGGAGTATTTGGCCTTACATCTTCCTTTTATGCTTATGTTTTTTTTTTTTCATTTTATATTCAATCCTGTCTTTGGATTCCTTTAAAAAATTCATCAGTCGTATTTTAAATTTCCAAGCAAAGCTGTTTCTTATTGTCTGATTGTTCCTTTTTCACTGATTCTTATGGTATTATAAATATCTTCCAACAACTCTCTGTTGAGGATACCAGTTAGAATTTTGTTACATTTTCCTTTGTATCTGAATTTCTCTTTTTTTATTGTTTTGTTTACTTGTCTTGGCTTTTTTCTTTTGTTGTGCTGATTTTCCTTCATTGGTTTGGTGATTCTTTATCCTCTAATTATATTTAAGTTAAAAAAAAAGGAAGGGGATCAAGAGATGAATGGAGGGGCACAGGAGGGAAGGGAAAGAGGATTAAAAAAAAAAAGGTGTTATATTAATCCCAAGGATTGTAAAAAATTTGTTCTACAAACATATACTCATAAAAAATAAATATATACACTAAAAGAAAGAAGAATGGCTAAGTCTTAAGCATTACAGATAGCTGGCATAAGTTTTCTGTAGTGTGGAGAGGTCTTGGTTTATGTGCTGTATGTGCTCTCCCTTTTATAGCTGCTTTGTGAATATGGACATATGTTAATCTCAGGCTTCCTTTTAGAGTGGGTGAGTAGGATCCAGCCACTCAATTGGGGCTACCACAGTTGCTGTCTCCAACCCCTCCACCCCATCCCACCCCCTCAGGAGAATGGGCCAGGAAAGTGGTAACAGCCTGACTAGTTTAACTGTATAGTAGACAATCTTTCTGGTAATTCCCTAGCTTCTAGGCCTACAGCTCACTTTTTCTCTGACCTTGTTAGCTTTGTGGCTACAGCCCTTTCAGAAGTCTTCCCAGAAAGCCTGACTTTCATCTGTCACCTTTTGGTAATTTATACATGTTCTGGATTGTGGCTTTTGCTCAATTTCATTCTTTTACACTGTCTTCCCATATACCCTCTGTCTTCTACAAACTTGTTGAAACATCTCACTTGTAAATGATTCTCCTCCCATACTATTCTTTTTACTAATGTGGGCAGACTTCCTTGCTATCAGTGAAAGGGGGTGATCTAAATGTGTGTTTGGTCATTAGTCTTGAAATAAAAGCGTCCTGCGTCTCATTTCACTCCCAGTTAGGTTATTACATCTAAACTGTTCTTTCTGAGGGCTCCAGTGGTCTCCATGTTACTAAGTCCAGTGTATTCTTTTCTGTCCTTACATTTCTAGGGTCTTAAACTGTTACTGTTTCCTTAATACTACGCTCATGTAATATTTTTTTGGCTGCTCTATTTTAGTCTGCTTTGCTAATTTCCCCTCCTTTATTAGACTAAATTTTTCCCCATTAAGTTTATTGGTACATTTAAAGCAAACAATACAGTAACATTTATCATTGGGACCTTGTACCTTTACATGATATAACTTTGTTCTTGTTTTCTCCCCATACCCCTGCCCTCCCTTCACCCGCTTCACCCTTCCCTATTTACAAAGACTTTGTTTCCATTTTTTCCTTTTTCACATTTTTTCTTTTCCCTTATTTCCTTTCCCCTCCCCTTCCCACTTCCCCTTTAGTCATTTTCTTCCTATTTCATACACCCAGTTATACCATTTGAACCTTATTTACACTTTTAGTTTTCTAAATGTTAAGTTCCATATGTCTTGGTGCTGGTTTCTTTTTCACTCTACTGTTTGGATAATCTTATTCATTTTCTTGGTTTCCAACATCTTCTATATACCACTTACTTCTAGTTTTCTATCTTAGCCTAGACACACTGAGTTTTTAACTATTTACTTGGATGGATACATGGATGAATCCATAAACATACTAAATGGCATGTTCAGAACTGATTTTTTGTTGTTGTTCTGGGGGTCAAACCTAGGGCCTAATGTATACTAGGCAAGTATGGTCCCACTGACCTACCTCTCCACCTCCCAGAACTGAATTCTTTATAATTTCCATTTCCCTAAGATACCTTTCTTGTCTTCATCTTAGTAAATGGCATCACCATCCACTCATTCAAGATTCATACCGTCTTGATCTGTGTTTTTCTAGGTTTCTATTGCTCTTAAATCACAAACTTTCGGACATGAACTAAAAGGGTTTGTCGGAAATGGCCACCGCACACTTCTCCCATCTTATATATATTTTTCCACTTCTCCCTTATTGCTATGTTAGGACTTGACTAACTTCTTCCTATTTTTGACCCTTCATACATGTTCTCACATCCTATAATGTTCTTTGCATATATGTAATCCTTTAAAATTTTTTCTTTCCATAGAGAAGCCTTTCCCAGCCATTCTCAGTTTAAATTAGATACCTTCCTCTTCTCCTTTCCTAGATATGTTAATATATGTGTTAAAGTGTGAACTTGGCAGGTGTTTTTTCAAAAAACTACTGATACATGCTTTAAGGGATACAAAAAGTCTCTGTACTTGATTGTTAGGGGTGGCATTGCTGGTACAATCCCGGGTGAAAATAATTTAGGCATTCAGAAGCCTAACCCTTCTATTGAAATTCTTCTCTGTCATGATAGGCTGAGATAACTTAATACATGAAAAATAATACACGTTTATTATTAATCTGCAGTGCTGAGGAGGACCGTTCAAACTCGCCCTGCTCCACAGACTCTTCCCACTGTGGAAATAATTGAGAAGGAACAAAACTGGGAAAAGAAGACCGTACCTACTGATACAGATATTCAGAATTCAAGTGAAGAGAATCGACTCTTCACTCAAAGGTGGAGAGTCTCTCACATGGGAGAAGACACAGAGCACAAAATCCAGGCACCTTTGGTTAACCTCTCACAGCCCCTCTATAGTTCCCATCCCAGTGTTCAACAGTCGAGAAATCCTGCATTCTCAGAAGAGCTCCCAGTACTGGGAGATGGGCAGCAGCTTAGAACAAGAGAGATACCGATACAAAGAAAGGACATAATGGCACGAATTGCTGAGCTGACACTGCAGAATTCAGCCATCAAGGCACATCTGAGTAATATTAACGGATCAGGAGGCGAGCGAGGGGATGGACTGCGAGAGTTGAACAAACAGGAGAGCGCTGGTGACAGGACTGCTGTGAGTACCAGTGAAGGATCAGCTAGGGACACACAGGAATTTAAGCTTGGGCATCTGAAGATATGTCTTTGCAGAAGGGATAGCTTTGAGGCTGCCACTAGATGCCTTATGGTTTGGCGTGTCTTCATCACCAAGATAGGCCAAAGTTGTGTATTAGTTTATATTGCATTACAATAAAAGGAGATAACATGAAAGAAAAGATACGTGATTAAGAAAATAAGATTAAGAGAGCCAGGGATTTAGTTAAGTGGCACCATGCCTGCCTTGCAAGCACAAGGTCCTGAGTTTGATCCCCGGTACCAAAAGAAAGAAAGAAAATAGGACTAAGTTAATGTGTGTAGGAAAACTAAGATTAAGTTAGGAGTGAAGTTGCAAGTCAACTGCAGAGAATTAATATGGCTTCAAAGTTTGCCTAAATACCACATTTTAGTTGAAAATATTTTTTCTCTTAGAAGTGTCTTGTACAAGAACAGTTGGCCATTAACTCATGACTAATTTTTTTAGAACACAAAATGCATTTTCCTATAGAAACAATTCTTCAGAAAGGATCGTTAAAGTCAGACTTTAAAGAACATACAAATCCTCTGAGGATCTTGCCAAACATGGTTTTGAAGTCTTGGGTAGGACCTGTGCATTTCTACTAAGTTCTCAAGTAATGCCAGTGCTACTAGTCTGAAGGTCACATTTTAAGTAGCAAAAATCTTCATATAGAGTACAGGAATTTTAAAAGTTAAATAAACTCTGCAGACTAACCTAGTAATTTAAACCTTCATTTCATTGTGAGGAGAAAAGGGATTCCAGGTTCTAAATGGGAGTGTTTTTAATACCTCCTCACGCAGATCCTAGTGATAGGGGACACTTTCTTTTGCACTCTTCCTCAGCCAGGGTAGCTCCTGTGAGGGTCCCGACAGGGAATTGGACAATACTCAGTGTGGGAAGGAGCTGGGAAGCCTCTCCTTGGATTAGGCACACTTGTAGCTGTGTCTGTAAGAGCTGTCGAAATCGTGAATCAGAGTTTCGGTGAGGAACACCAGAGGTGGTAGGGGTAGGAGCCACCTGTTATCACTGGCTCATAGAGAATAAAGACAGGTGGTATTGAGTCACAGAAATAGCAGTTAGAGGGATGGGCAGAGGAAGAGCCAGGAAGAATCACTGGGGCTTGGCAGCAGCTGTTGGTGTAGCTGTAAACATGAGCTGCCTCAGGTTTGAGTCACTGGGAGACACTTATGTTTTCAGTTTTGAAGATTATCTGAAACAGATAACTCTTAGGTTAAAATAGATAACAGGTAAATATTAAGCTTATGTCCTTTTGTAATTAGTATATGCATCAGTCCAGAAAGGACAAGGACAATGTAATATTTCTGTCCTCAGCATCCTCTCGTTTTAATTGAAAATATAGATTGATCTTTAATTCATACTGTTTACTTATCTTTATTTTTTAAAAGAAAACTATTAAAAACTACAAGCCACAAATTATTAATTTGTGTTAGGGATTAGTTTTTTACTTCCCCAAAGGGACGTATTTAACTAAATGAAATTGGGCTGGAGATTTAGCTCAGTGGTACTGCCACCTAACTGAAATTATTGGGATTAACGTAAATACATTTCTCTTGGGAATTTTTCAAATTAACCTTATGTTCCAGGGGCAGCTGTATTTTACCATTATGTCCGATATTCCTCTCCAATGGCAACTATTTTTAAATAAGATTATCTTAGGCTAAATGTGGCCTGGAGGGGCTGACACATGATGGGGTTCTCAGAATCTCTGCCAAATAACTCATGGTGCCTGTTTGAAGATTATGACTGTGGAAACACTGTTTCAATTACAGCTGATCCTCCTTTGTAATCTGTCCAGCTGCAGGTCTGTCACTCGTAGGTGTGTGGCATTTGGCCAGTAGAAGTCATTTGTTTGCTTCTGAGCTCTTTTGTACAGCTCCACAAATGCTGAGCAATGTAGGGAAAACCTTGTCCCACACACAGTGTGCTCAGTGAAAGACTCAGTGTGGGGCAACAGCAGAAGAACGAGTGTCCTTTCACTTTAGCCCTAATTCTTCAATTAAACGATTTGTAAGTTCTATTGTTTGCCCACTGTTCACATCTGTTTATAACAAGGGCTGTGACTGAATTTCCTGGCACCTAGCAGAAAAGGCAAAATTGGGTGGTGTTTTTTTCCAATATTGAATTCATGCCCTTTCTCCCCCTTCCAAAGACTTTTCCAGTCACACAGTCTGTAGTACCAAGCACCATGGAGGAACGGCTTGCAGAGTTGAATCGACAGAGTATGGAGGCTCGTGGAAAACTACTACAGTTGCTAGAGCAACAGAAACTTATTGGCTTGAATCTCCCCGCTCCACCAGTGTCGCCTATTCAGTCGCCTCTCAGAGCATGGACTGGTTGGTCACAAATTCATGATTCAAAAACTTGAAATATGAAGGTTTTCCCTTTCTAAATTTTGCAAGTTTATAATGAGTCAAAAGAAATTACATATTCCAGTGCCTTTGATTTTATATCAAAAGAAGTAGCCGTGTATCACTGAATGAACAGGACTGGAAGCTCCTGATTCTCTCATGTGATGCCTACAGTTAATCTTTGGTGTCTTAGTTCCTAAGTTGCCTTTATGAGATTGGTTATGGCATGTGATTCACATAGCACATAAAATATAAGCCTCCAAATTACAATTCAGGATTTTGTTAGCATCAAATTACAGATTATTCTGTTAAACTGATAAAAACATTTTAATTTTCTGGTCTCTTGTTATATTTAGGAATGTGAAAAGCCAGAAGGGATTCTAAATAAGAAAATGGTAACTGAAAATCTTGTCATTGTGTATTCACATTTAAAAAGATACCAGTGAAATGAAGTAGATCTCAAGCTGGTTTTTCGCGTTGGTTAAAGTCTGTCAAGGGTTAGAGCTACATGAACAGTATAAAGAGACTGATTTGGGTCCAGTATAAGAGAAGCTAGTTGTGTCAGTGATGTATTCCCTGAGGTTTTCAAACATTGGTGTGTTTTAGAGGAACTCATTTGTTGTGTGTTAGTTGAAGTGAAGATTAATCTTCCAGTGAGAGTTTTTACCTTTTAGGAATTATTTCATTTCTGAAATTATATATGATCTTGAGTACTTCAACATTCATTTACGGACCAGGCAACAAACAACAAATATATATATATATAT